TTACCCATATTGTTCGAACATTTTTTTTCATCTTTTTAGAGTCATTTACTCGCAGATAAGTGACTGGTGTGTACGGTTTTGTTAAATGTATTTTGTAGTTTAAAGTTTAGCAAATATACGAGAAAAGATTTAATTACAGTTTGTTTGTTGTTGTTTTTTTGTTAATTTTGCTTTGTTTTTTACTGCCCTTAATGCTGTCGCTATAAAAATGACCTTTAACTATTTTACATGTTCTACTTTTACTTTTGTTTTGCGTTGATTTGCTTCTTGCTTGTTTGTTCTGTCTCAAATGTTCTGCTTAGAATTTGTTTCATTATGATAACAAATACTTGTTATTATTATTTTACTTTACAAACGGCTATTTTTATTCGTATGCTTACTTTAGTGTGTAGTTTTCTTGTTTCATTTTTCATTTGTTTACTAAATCACAATCTTAGCTGAGCTGTATCATTTTTTGTAGAATTACTGTTTTATTCGATTTTCATTTTTACATGGAACAGTTTGTTGACAGGCTTCAATCAAATAGGGGGATTTGAACATAAAGCAGGGAGTTTATTTTGTTGGACATATTTTTCTTTCTTTGAGATAAAATTGGAATTGTTTGCTAAGGAGAATAAATTGGTTTGCTATGAAAATTTTAGGATATTTAGCATTGGATCAATTGGTTAACTTTTTTTTTGTTTTTACTAAGGCTTACAATTTAACGTAGACTAGAAAACAGGCTTTTAGCAGACACTATTCTAGTTGGAATTTTTCGATTCAAGTGACTGATGTTTAAAATTAAATTAAATTTATGTCTTTTTGCAAGCTTGCTTCTTATTAATAAAAATAACTTATCATAATCTGTTTTAGAATAACGTTTAACGCTTTAGAATATATTTGTGTGTTTTTTACTTGCCTTCGAACTTAATCTTAGCAACAGCCGGAGGGTAGGTCTTATCTCAATAGAACGCAAAACTTAACAGGATAAATAAATAAAACAATCGAAACAAACGTCAACCTAAATGTGACAGTTATACCCTAACTAGTGCTTCTATAGAGATGGTGACGTAGTTAGTATTTTGTCGAGCTAATGCAGCGCTTCAGTTTTCCGTTTCCTCTCTTTTCTGATATGTTAAATGACAAAACTAAGCACTTGAGTAGCACGTTTTTTAGTTACTGTTGTATGTTTAGTAGCTTTTTCTGCGGTATTAGTATCAATAATTCGTGTTATAGTATTAGCAGCTGTATTCTGATTCCTATAATTTTGTATAAATATAATAACTCCTATGGGCACATAAATCACAATTTTCAATCGTTTTTTTTTTCCTATCGTTCAATGCGCCATTTCCTCTGGAGACTTTGTTCTAATATTTATTTATTTTTGCTTGAAGTAAATTAAACAACCTATAACATGACCATTCGGAACCAAATTGGAAATATGTGTCCGATGGTGGTTGACTTCGAGCTAAGAATTTACAGTCTTTTCTCATCAATCTGCTTGAAGAAACTCAAACTATCTGAAATCGTTACCATTGGTGCAATTTGTGAATAAAAATTTGAAAGAATCTCGGGTATCATTTGCTAATTGGTTGGAAAGTATTTTATATGCACTATTTTATTTTATTTTTTTTTCTACAATATGAATTATATATCGTTAATCAAAAACGTATTCTTGTCACAGCAATTACTCATTGTTGTTATTAACTTTTATAAACTTTGGTCCAATGCTGAATGCAGGCGGGATTAATAATTTGTTTTCTGTTGGCTTTAATGGTGCAGCGGTTCTCTTTTAAAAGGCAGAATAGCGAATGGAATTTTTTGCAATGCAAAGAAAATAAGTCTCTTTGTTAGGTACTGGTGAAGCACAAAGAAATAGGCTTTGCTTAGTTTAGTAAATTATTATGCATCTCAAGCACCTTCCAGCGTTTACAATGTTCAGAGGGTTGCAAGAATCTTTGGTGGTTTTGGATTGTTTTGTTTTCCGACTTTGTCTGAATGTTAGTGAATTTACATCCGAGGTGTTTAGGAAGTGAATTGATTTTGAAGTAGCCTATTGAATATTGAAGAAAACTTCATCTATTAAAAAATATGACTTCGTGTTTGGTTATCGCCATTCATTGTTTAGTTTATGCCACAGAAATATTGTTTAGTCCCAGTTTCAGTTAGTTTTAGTGTAAAATATTTCTCCATTGGTCAATCGTAGGCTATCAGCCCAGTGGCAGACGCGTAGGCAACATGTTATACAGTGACAGCGGGCCCAGCACAGCAAAATAAATGATTTGAGCCCGGGACATGCTGCCTACTGTCAAACGCTGCTGTTGGTATAGGCCTTGTCACTGGCCTGTATCTACTGGCCTGGCTATCTACTGTACACGGTCACTGAAAACAACTCAAATTTGCATTCACTCTTTTTCGTAAAAAGAGAATGCACTCAAATCATAATGTTCATAATACACAATTCATCTGATCAAATATTTGATTTCGCTTGATATCTACCGCCTAAAATTTTCAACTCGACAGCTAAACACATAAGGTATTAATACCTTATGTGTTTAGCAGTCCAGTTGAAAATTTCAGGTGATAGATATCAAGTGAAATCTTGATAGTATTTAATGATTGTTTTGATGAGTTTTTCTCAACCTACGATATTTCGCTCAATAGACACTTTAATCAACTGTGTATTGAACCAACATATTACCTATTACCTTGGGTTAAATGTAATGCTAATCGTAAAACTTACGATTTCGGCTCACAATAAAAAAAAAGTTTAATTGAGTGCCTTTCGATGTAAGATTTGTTCAACGGTTTGTAAGAGTTTTCATAGGCAAAAATACGAGCTTTCCTAACATTTGACTGCTGCATTACCAGCTTTGTGATCTGTGTGAAAACAGAATGTTTTTCTATCACAAATTAGCGTTTATAATATACTAAGTACTGAGGGTGGGGAAATATGCGTCGTGTGGTTTGGTAACTCATAAACAATCGTTGAAGTTTAAATTGCTGTTATGAGCTACACAAAACAGGAGTTTCAGATAGTGGGAACCTTACAAAAGTGTTCTAAATGCAACCTAAATTTATACTTCCCGAAATAATGACGAAAGGATAGCGCATTAATGTATGCAACCTACATAACATCTAGCAAAAAGCATAACACTTACGGTGGCGCATATTAGCCTTTCAAGTGAAGCATATTACCTAGCGAAAATAAAAACGCTATTTTGAGAAGATTTTTTGAAAAATCATTTTCTCTGTGGTCAATACATATTTTCACATGATGTTTTCGATCAAGTAGATTATTCAGACTAATGAATGCGCTGAAATATAATGTTTAATTTTGATTAAAACGCAATGAAAATCGATAATTTCCTTACGAAAAAAAAAAGAGTTTCCATTGCCTATAAATTAAAGGATTTTTGTTAAATTTCTAACGACCTTCAATAAAATTACCTACATTAAGGCGTGACCGTGTATTTTAAGAAATTAATTTTTACATTTCTGCTTAAAATAAACATTGTACATGGATTCCGACGTCTGATTCGGATTCAGGGAACCCACATTCTTAAAGCACATTTACTAGAAATGCACCAATGTTCAAGATCAATGTCACCAAAAAAAAAATGTCACTTCCTTCCTTTCATTGGTGAAATGGTGAGCGATCAACCGAGCATTGAGCTCGCTCATGTGAGCATGCGTAATGTGTCGTTTGTTCGATTTGCGCTCTATCATTGCGTCCATGTTTGGGATTTGTCATTACATGGCTGGATTTTGATTTTTTTAATGTGACACCCAGTGTATAAATTAAAGACGTAATCCTACGTCAAAAAAAATGCTCCATTTGCATGCTTCCATGAAAATTATTAAAATCATCATCACTCTTAGAGTTCTTCTGTTGCTCGATGCGTAATTTATGACAAATCATGGCTTTAGTCTCTGGAATCGATACCAAGCGTTGATCGATTCTTTTTATCGATTTTCTCTTTGGTGAATAACCCGACTGCAAATGGATTTCCCATTGAGTGTGTTGTTTTAGATGCAAGCTAACATCATCTTCTGTCGTGGTAAGCCAAAGAGAAAGTCTATGAAGAGAATTGATCAACGAGGATAGCCCTTTTCAAATGTTCATTTGAGTCGTACGTGATTTTTAAAACAAACATCTTCCTGTACCACGCCACTGATTACCTTCGGTTTTCCATGTTCTGATAGCGATAGATATGTTTTCACCTCGGGTGCCAGCTCGCATCAGCAAATGACGTGGGATTGAATTATTTACATCGTCATTTTTAAAGATTTGCGTTAAGGGGCACTACCAATACCATATGCATTTCAATTTGGGATGAAGATCATTCTGCAGAGATCATTACGTTTTTCAACTGCAGGTCCGTTTGTTTCAATGTTCATCCTCTACACCATCTGATTTAAAAACAACCGTCATCTGGTTGCAGCTATGATTCACAAAAGCAATTTCGATAATAATGGTTGAATAATTCATACGAACAGAGAATGATGTTTTCGTACAGTATATACTGCCTTAACCGTTATTCATCGGGTCTGTTCCCGTATTTGCTTTTCTGTTCATCTAGCTTATTTTTTAAAATATTGGATTCCGTTTAAAAGGGCGGTATTACCAAAGAAGAATACTAAGATGAACAGTCGGAAGAAAAGCTTTCTATTTTAGTGTCCTCTTTCACGGTCCCTTTCATCCAATGAATAGCCCCCGTATGCAAGGTAATTTTGTGGTTTTGCTACCCCCTCGGTAGAGATGAAATTTAGCGCTCTTTTTTTTTATCAAAACAATCACACCAAAATGAGAGATGTCCAATTTTTTAACTACTCGATTAACAACTAATCGATTATTATTTGTTCGCTGTGCTGTCATTTTTCCACCAATGAGAGTGCAGCATATGTTTGAAACAATGAGTGATTATCCTCTGGAGAAGTTAATGCTTATATCGGCATGATATAACCGATTACAAATATTTTACTTTTCGGTTCGTTGAAAATCGGCCATCACTAATAATGATACAATTTGAAAGGGACCGGGACTAATCACAAATTACGTCCCCCGGTAACTCAAATGAACACGAGTGCTCACCGGTTGGTATTACCAAGCAAGAGGCTGAAAATCTATCGGGTTGGAATTTTTGGCAACTTTACTGGGCATAGAGTACCATTCAAAGATGATTTTTTTTTTTCAAAAAACGTATCTGTTATTGTAAACAAAGATTCAAACGTCAATTTATAGAAACTCTTAGCTCTCCCACGCAAAATTACACCACTGTCAGAAAGGGGAATGTTACCATAATAAGTGTCAAGTATTTAGATAAATAGCGATCAGATTACCGGGGTTCCACGGTATCACATGTTGAGTGCTATACAGATTTGATACAAATGACAAAATGATTTTTATTCGAGGCCTGATTTCAGGATTTCTAGATTCAAAGAAAAAAAACATTATCACCTTATTATTCGGCAGAAAGGTTAAATTCGACCATATGAAGTTCTTAAGTATTGTTGGATTTACATTCAAAAAGAGTTTGTTTGCACCTCAAAAAACACCTCGGATATATAGGTTTCGTAGTAGAATAATTACACATGTATTGAATATATGAAAAGATAAATGATCTAAATCTAGTAACAAGAGGTAACTCTTCTATTTTGGGCATATTTCTTAACCACAGTATTGAGCCAAACATTTTCCATGTCAGTTAAGGAGATTCATTAATTCATTCAGGGTTTATTTGTTTGAAACCTCAAAAGTAGAAATTATGAGATGTGCTGCCAAAACTCATCACGATGAGCCAATCATGGACGCCAACTTAGACCCCCTAGTATTTTCAGAATCTTATATAAATTATCTATATAAGCTTATTTTGTCCTTCCCATATTTGAGCTATGTTGGTGTTACTGGCGATTATTGCAGCTTATCACTGCACTCATTTCATCTGTTTTCTCAGAGCTCCATCATCACTCACAAAACGAAATTGAGAGACAACGTTCTCTCTCCCTCTCTCTCTCTCTCTCTCTCTCTCTCTCTCTCATACATTTATTATTGGTTCCTGATGAACGTTATGTCTGTTCCCGTACATACATGAAAAATTTAAGGGCTCATGGCCGTGGAGCCTCAACAAAGATATCAAAGAAATTGATTGATTGATCGATTGAAAATCGACAGGAACTTGACCCGGGCCTATTTACTGTGAATTTCAGGGATGAACGATTTTTCCTATACTAAAAAAAACTCCTTAACAATAACGGAGTGAGTTGTCACCTGTGAGAAAATAGATACAACTAGCAGCTTTGGAAACGATTAATGCATGCATTGTTTATAATACACGGCCGGTGAGACTGCTGACTCAGCGTTGAGTAACCCACGTTTTTAGAAATTTATTACTTATGAATGATTTTCGGGTAACATGAGGTAGCTGTTATACGCCTTTAACCATTTAATTTTCCCACGCGTTGAATGACACTCAACGTCCATGGTTCGGTTCCAGTCTGCTCCGATTTATTATTTTTTTGTCAACATACTTTTCATAAAGTAAATCAATGAAATTCATACTGATTTCTTGTGGCTAAAATTCATAAGCGTTTCTTATGGAATTCTTACGTTATTTTGCCTGCGTGTACAACTGACTCTCAATTAAGAACTGTGAAAGTGCTTCAAAGAGTTGAGTGCAAGCGGCAGCTCGTTTAACAGTGTCAAACTGAAAACGAAACTATCTCAGAGAGTGAGTCACTTTTACTCATTCGTATGGAGAAATTTCTAAAAGCTTAGGTCACTCAGCGCATGAGTAGGCTACGGTTTTGGAAAATTCGTCATACGAATTAGTGATAGTGACTCACTCTTTGAGTAATATTCGTTTTCAGTGCAAAGCCAGGAAAAAGATAAATTATGCACGTTGTTCAATCCAAGCACGGTATTACCAGACATGGTATTATCAGACACGGTATTACCAGACACGGTATTACCAAGCTGAGGAGTGATTCGGCGGTCGAGGACAATTTTTTGGTTGACAATTTTCTCGGCTTCCCTGGGCATACAGTTTCATTGAAAGTTTAAGTAAGGTTAGATTTTTTCCAAGGTACATTGGCTGATTCGTCTCTGGCGATGTACCACTGTGTTTTTTCCACACAATATACAAATTTTTGCTGATAATGTTCGCATAGAAAGTTCTTAATTTATATCTGTAGAAATGCTTCGTAGAACACTAAGCTGAGATCCGACAAAACGCTCGCAAAAGAAACTTAAAAAACCTAGTACGATTGCTTCTTATGCAGGGTAAACGCTCCTTTCCCGGGTAGCACACTTTCGTTAATAAAAGTTGCAGCAACTTGTTTATGACTGAAATAAGTCGTAACCAAGTTTCTACAACCGATATGTGACAAGCGTACTACTAGGGTTAATTGCGGTACGTTAGAAGCGTTAGGTTCCTCTAGACCGTTTTGACATTGAATCGTCTTGCTCTATCGAGCACACAGGAATGAATGAGATGGTTTGTTTTCCCACTAATCTGTTTCTCTCTTGCTTGCACTCCTTCAGTTTAGATGGTGCATTAGTGTGCGCCGATTAAACATCAAAAACCTCTATAGTTATGTATGGAGACTCCATACACAACTATAGGAACCTATCACTTCATACCGCAACTATAGGAGCGTTTACCCTAATGGAAAAACCCGTTCTGCTGTTTTTCCAAACTTTTCCGGCACAAAACTGTTGAGTTCATTCAGTACTAAGAATCTCTGGGAGCCGAGTCGAACTGTCAAACGGGAGCCAAAAATTCAAAAGAGCTTAGAAGTCATGTGGGTAGTTACTGTTTGAACCACAAATAAAAGTATTGCCTCCTACTGAAAACAAATTAAGAATTATAATTATGAAACTGTCGAAACATCAAGCTTAGTAGGCGGATAATGATAATGCCAAAAATGGGTTACGATTTGCTGAAAGAAGAATTAAATCAAACTTTATATAAGAGTCATGTGAGCTTTGTGGGCAGGTGCACTCCCAAAACCATGTATACGTTATTTGTGGAGCAGAGAAGGAGGAGCCAAGAGTACATTTGACAGCATGTATATACGATTTCGTGAGCTGATTCAGCAAAATAATTTGAAGCTTCGAAAGAATTTCAAGATGTTTTCTTGCTCACTTGAAAAATTAAATCGACAGAGTTCGCAATACCCAGCTAAGAACGTGTGAGGTGATGAGGCATTTCCATTGAAAAACTCAGTTTTGACAAAAACGCAAACGGGACCGATTGCGATGAGCGGCAGTATATTCGAACATTACATAAACCATCAAGTTAATACGATTATCATTCCAGATTCTTGGAAAGTTAGTCTTTTGTCGATTTGAATCCAATAATGGTAGAATTAAATCCTATGCGGTTCCCCACTCATGTTTGATGGCTGTAGGAAAATCAATACCTAATAACACATCATTAATTCGGTAATGCTAACTAAGCACAACATATCATTGAAATTCATTGGGCTTCATTGATGAATGTGTTTGCCTGGAAAAATACAACGTCTTGTAACAGTACGCTTAGTTCTTAATTTGCAAGGCATAAGTTTTAATAGGAAGGAAGGAAGTCTATGGAGAAAAAAAAATAACTTGGACTCAATTAAAACGAAAAACAGTCTCAGTTATATGCAATCCTCATGGTCCTTGGGACGGCAGTTTAAGACCGATGAATAAGGCATCAAAATGTCGGACTCAACACTCAGCGTTCTCACCGACTCCCGGATACTTGTATCCTTTCAAGCATGGTATTTGCTCTAAGTTTTCTTTTTAAATTTAAGATTTTCGTCTTTAACATACTGCCATAGTCATTTACCAAAAACGGAATTAATTCTAAAGAAATGACAAATCCCGGTATTTTGAAGCGTACTTTGTTCAAATTCAGAACAAAATAACCTTGTTCGGTATCAATAGACGATAAATTGAAAGAATGCGAGAAAAATTATTTGCCAAGTGCAAACCAATTGAATGCGTATAAACTGACCCATAACGATCTGGAATTGGCAAGCGAGTCATTTTTCACTTAGTGATGTGAAATCAGGTTGACAATTTTTTTTTGACAGTTTTAGTTTTTTAGCGCTATATAATCTAATTTTTCGGCTAAAAATAATGCTTATCTCCATACCAACTTCGGGTTCAAAGTTATGTTTAAAGTTAGAAAGCAAATTATTTTTTAGATAAATATATGGATGGAAAATAAATTAAACATATACATTGTAATCTTCAAGCGTTTTCACATGAGAAATGCTTTAAGTATATATTTTCATTTTCCATCATATATGTCATGAAACCTCGGTTGATGTGTTTCACGAAAGACGAAACTATCAAAGTCGATTGCTTTTTCACTCATCCGCTTCACCGAAGCTTAAAAGAAATATCAATGAAGCGAAGGAAGAAAGAGAGACAAGTGATTGAAAATTTGTGTTTTAGCTGTTCGACTTCAATAGAAAAAAGAAAGCCAGCAGTCGCTTTCTCGCATCGATTTTGTCAATTGAATCTGATATTGTGACGCGTTGCTCAAAACCTACAATACTTCACACTTCACTACTTAATTTCCTTCTTCAACTGTTTCTTGGAAAATCTTGGGAAGTGATTGTATTTGAAATTTATTGTATAACTTGCTGTCTCAAAGATCATGGATTGTCCAACTTTAAAATTCATTGCGGTTATTCCCAAAAATGAACTATGGGAAATCAAGAATTCCCATTGTTCAATGTAAGTTATCCCAATCATTATTAATGACGTTAAGCTACCAGATCACTTTCACAATAATTTAATGAAGGCTTTCTAAACCTACCTCCTACATTAAGTGGTGAGCGCAGTGAGATACAATCGTTAATCCAAAAATATCCTCGATCAGACTGTCAATCAGCATAGTTGGCTCCACTCTACCGCTCTACTGCTTTTTGAAGCCCTGATGGGCATCCAACTACACCACTGGGATTAGTTCACGGAATACGGACCAGTTGTATTAATTCAATACATGTGTAATGATTTTGTAGATATTAATATGTACGGTGAAAGTAAGTTTTTGTGTCGTTTTTTTCTTTGGTCTGAAGTATACGGTGGTGCTTTCGCTTTCCGGTTCTCTATATTGCAAGCTGTCCATTCAACTACAATTTATGGCATTATCAATTGATTTCGTTCTAGAGTTTTGTCATCCTACAATTTAGCTGCAGAATGGTTTTCAATTTGCGGTTTACGTTAAATCAAACTTGTTACATTCAGATCTCGTAGAAAATGAGTACAAAATACAGTTTGTGTGTGTCTGTCTGCGATTGCTTTTTAGATTAAGAAAATATATGATCTTGTTTTGTTCTCAATGCTTATTTGACTAGACTATTTGCACCTTATCTAGACTTTGTCATTGAATTGTTCTTTATTCTATCTCATATAAATATGCTAATCATTAGTTTAGACTTTATTCAAATAATATTGCTATATTTTCTTTCATTCCTTATTCTCCTACTAGAACTCTATTTGATTGCAAAAATTCTCATCATTGGCTTGGCGTGTGTGTTTGTGTGTGTGTTTTTTTTTGTTTTTTTTATCTATGCTTGGTTTGATCCTTTTTCATTCAATTTGAATTATTCGTTCTACGAAAATCGGCTCCAGTCCCTTATGTAGAATAAAATTTAAATAGGCAATTGCTGACGACGCTCGACACAATTCAGTAAAACGATCGCACCAATAAGCTAAATTCAATGAGCTACTTCTGCTTTGCATTGGTTCAAATGGAAAGAATTTTGTTGTAGAACTTACAAATGGTAACTAATTGCGACCGGTTTCTATCTCGACTGCTCTACTGTACTGTTATCCTCTGTGATCTAAACCGAGTTTAGCTAGACTTAATTCGCGAAATTACCCACTATTTACAGTTTGTTTTTTGTTTTTATTTTTACAGTTTTCTATCTATTTTTGTTTGTCATTACAGCATTCTCAAAATGTTCAGTTTTTGTATGTTTTGATTTAGTTTAGTAGTTGCTGATGTTTCTTTTCTGTTTTACTAAAAAGGCAGTATTTGTTTTTGTTGTTTTTTTCTTTCTCTACTAATCTGTGTCACTTTTTACAAACTTACTCGATTTAGTTTTTATTGACAACTGTTCTTTGCATCCCGAAGCTGCGTAATTCTGTCTATTTTTAATGAGTAACTCGTCGAAAGCGGTGTAACTTGTAAGTTTATCAAAATTTCCATGTAGGTACTGGCCGCCATGGTGTGAGTTTACAATGAATCGGTGTTAATGATCTTCTATGTATTTTACATAACAACGGTGAAATGCGAATAGCACTGGAAACTTATAATCTGCCTCATAATGGGTGCATCATTGCCCATAGCCATGCTAGCTGCCACTACAGCACATTATTCGTATAGAGTTCGTGAAGCAATCGCTTGTTGATCGTATTCTAGGAGAATCCCTTGTAGTGTATGAAAAAGAATATGAGAAAGACTGCGTATGCCGACGGGAAGGTAATCCGAGCGATGACGTCGATTGTTTTCGCCACCCGAATCGGATGGGGTGGCTCTTTTTTCCGCACCTGGACGAAACATGTCTGCAAGGAAAGGAAAGGATATTGCATAAATAAGTGTCAGTATGTTATCCTATTTTCGAATCAAATATAGCAGCCTTTAATGCAATGAAGATTTAAAATCAGTTTGTTTTTTTAATTTTGATAATAATTTATTTATTACACTAAACTTCTGCTACTAAACTTACCTCGGTAGCACAGCCATTGTTCGCCGAGTGTGTGCATGGGCTGGTCCCACCCGCGCAACTGGTACAGGCAACAATCTCGTTCGGTCCGCTGGATTCTCGTTTCTTCACACCCTACCGAGAGGGAATTTCGTTAGAATGTTGGTCGTGGCAAGTTTATGATTTTATAATATCGTTTAATTAAGTTCCATGTCAAACAGAACAGTGCACAGTTTAGAACGCATTGGAGTAATCTCGATCGAGAAATCAGTGATATGCTCATAAATCATATAATTCTGGGAAACAATTAATCAAAACTTTTTGCATAATTTTCCATATCAGCATGGATTGATATAGGTAAAAGCCGATAAACATAAAACAGCGTTGCTGCTGATATTGAAAGCTGGCTGTAGAACTAGATCTTAGGAATGACATTTCCATCCGAGAAAATAAGAAAATGAAAAATGCGATAACGAAATTGGAAAATCATCCATTCCGTTATACCGCCATACCAATCAATGGTTTCGCATCAGAAGCACAACGGCTGTCTCGCATCCATCATTGATGTGCCCCTTGGGGCAAAAGGGACAATGAATCAAGATGACATGTCATGATGATTGGTTCCGTTTGTGGGCAAAAAGTCTTTACAGATTGCATTCGAATATCGCCTGCAGATAGTTGTCTGGATTCGGTCAGTGAACAACAGGTACGTATCTGCTGGGATGGGTTTTTTCTGTTATTGACACCCTAGACTGGATCGAAGCCGAACCGGTCTGTTGATTGTGAAAATTCCTAGTAAGTCTTTTGACCATTGGCATGCGGGAGATTCGTTCATTTTCCGAAAATAAGCGTTTGTGACAAGTTTTGACTTATGAGGTGCTCGAGAAGGGGTCACTACTGGAGGAGAGGGACAAGCAATCACACTAGGGTCAGATAATCAACTAAATGGGGACTAGCTCCCCACAGTCTTCCACAATCCTTTTCCAGTGCTCCTATCGAGCGAAGCTAAATCATTGGGTTATTGCATTTCTATGTGTAGGTACAAAGGTCGGTGCAATTTATGGCATTCCTAAATTGGACAACCGTTCTTCATTGCGATTTTCAGGGAAAGGTGCACAGTTCTGTAGGCAAACGATGACTGATATCGGATGGTTGGATGCACTGAGAAAGAGCGATAATTGAGTTCGATGAAAGGAATAGTTTGTTTTTGTTGGGTCTGTTCAGAAAAGGTACATGAATGGTCATTCTGAAACTGTACAGAGTGGATGGGAGTTGAATATGTGGTTGAATCGTTCGAAAATTTCTATGGGTTGAAACTTTGGCCGTTTTTCATGTTGTTGGTTTAATGTTTTTTAATCCACCTGTTCCTATTTGAGCTTAAAATATTCAGTTGGTATACAATGATCAATTTGTCAAAACAGATTGTTTTAAAGACTCTATTTCGCTGAGGTCTATTTCAGAAAGCCAGAATTGAGGCGTTATCTTTGTCTAATTTTCGATGTGCTTAAATTTCTGACAGCGCATAATGTTCATATAAGTCATGTTGAGTGTCACATTGCAAAATGGCCCCAAAGCCGTTTTTCTAAACACAAAAATGTGAATGCTTAAACCGTTAGTTTTAGGATAATGGTGGCTTTGGGAAATTTTTTATATAGTTTTTGGACATTTTTTCGTGTAAGTTAGAGTGGTCGCTGTGGTTATTGAGCTCAAAATATATACTTTTTAGTTGTAGAATAATTTACTTAAAGCAACTTTGCACAAGATACTTTTTTTATATATCTAATGGTTTTCGTCTTAAACTTGTTTCCAAAAGGTACTCGTAAAAAAAGAACCATAGAAGTACAATAAAATGATTTGTATCGAAACAATATAATTTACTGTATTTACAGTAAATCGTATTATATACATCCTCCAAATTTGTAGCAGGAGTGCTAAGGATTTTTGGAGTTCTCGTTCATAATATATAATATAACCGTCTATCCACTCGCTATTCTTGAGCATTAGAGGACTAGTTTTATAAATTATAATTTCAATACAATGTAGATCTATATAAGCAACAAGCAACTCACTTTTTATGGGACATGCATAAATTACGTAGCATTTTAGGGGGTGTCTGAAACAGCTGTGACTGACCATTCAGGTATAAGATATAAGAATTTACAGAACTAGCTAATTCAATTAAGTATGGTCTCCCGTATATCAATTTAATTTGGTAATCATTATTTTTTAAGTGAGAATCACTCCTGTCCCTGAGCATTAATCGTTCTGCATTCTTTTGGAATTTGTTTATTGTATAACAAAAAATGAACTTAAAACTCCCCAATCTCTATCCTGCATCTCAATCATACACCAAGCTCTCCAGAATGCATGAACAGCCTCATACCTGTTGTGCAAATGCAAACATACAGGAGATCTACCGCTGCACAATGGGCCAGAAATTAAAATTTCACCCAAAAATAAAACAAAATATATATTGAAACCAACCGTCATTTTTCTGCCTATGCTGATAGTTGATAGAATCCACAAATAGCCGATATTTTGGTTATTTTACCATGTCCCTTTGAATTTTTGATGGCATGGATCTCAGACACTATAAATATTACGTGCAGAAAATTGTAATCACATGTATGCTGCGGTGCAGAAAAAGATTGATTATAGTTTCGCACACGAAATCTTCATAGTTTCTGAGATTCGTCCAATCAAAAATTTGAAGTGGTAATGCAAAATAACCAAAAATAGCGGACATTTGTGGATTCTACCATCTTTCACCTTAAGGTGAAGTAAACACAAATTTCAAAAATGGTTATCTCTGAGACGTTACTTCAGATTGGAAAAAGCTCTCGTCGTTTTGAGCGAAATAATAAAAGGAAATCATCGACGAGAAATTTTTGCAATCTGAAGTGATTTCTCAGAGATAACCATTTTTGAAAGTTTTATTTACTCACTAGGTCACCATACTCAATTCTAAGGTCATTTTGACTTCAAGTATTCTTGATTTTATTTTAAACACTGTAGAATGATTTACGATGTTTGCAGAAAGTAAATGGTTCGTTTTATTTGTTTTGATGTATCTACAAAACTGGATTTTGTTTTGCCAAGATTGGCACCGTCGAGTAGCTTGGCATTTTATTTTTCTGGATCTCAGTGAACAACTTGCCGAGATTCAGCAAACAAACAGAGATTTTGCCGAGATCTCAGTAAAAATAAATGCCAAGCTGGTCGGGGGTGCAATCTCGACAAAAAATCTAAGTGTGTATGTTTTTTTTTTAAAATACTGCTGTTAATTTCATTATTACTTTGAAGCATTACTATTTCTATTGTAACATGTTCCACATAAGAGTAACGGTATTCCGCAAGGTGCCTTCCATTCATCTTGATTAAAAAAATACTTTATGAAATTATGGAATAATAAGATATTATTTGATATTTTGTATGTGTAAGTAATAAGAAAATACGGTAAAGTTTGTGTTTGACACATCAAACCTGCAAATTTAGCTTTGACAGAGTCTTTATTTGCGTTTTCCTGATTTCCTCTTCGCGAAGAGTGAAGAGCAAAGAGTGGGTGAGATAAATTACAAAATCGCTTATTGCGACTCTCATGTAGCAAAATTGGCAGGTATTATGTGTCAAACACAAACTTAAAAATCTTTTCTTGTTGTTTACACAATTAAAATGTTTTCATAATATTTTATTATTCCATAATTTCTTAAAACATTTTTTTAGTCAAAACCAATGGAAGGCACCCAAGTATCCCAAGCAGTACAATTCAGCACATTCCATAAGTTTATGCAACTTGTTATAAGTTGGAAACATGTAACCACAACTGTTCAGTGACAAGTGTGTGTTCGACCTGAAACCAATCTACACAAAAAAAAATCTGAACTCTAACAATCTCGTAAAATCCTTCGTTTAATTTTGAGCTATACTTGCCATAAACAAACGAAATCGTTTACAGGCTTGCATACAATATTGCTAAGTTATGCGGTATTGCGCTTAAATTTACACGAAATATCGCGTAAATTTATGCCTAATCTAGCGTTAATTTTATGTGCGCTATATCTCGCAGAAATATGAATTTTTCGAACGGTGTTGGGTGCTTGAACTTCAACCATTTCGGCGAATATCTGAGAACGGATTAAGCAGAATACAGTGAATACTCCATATCTCGATGTTCTATATCTCGATATGTGAACACTTTTTTCTATATGTCGATGGTTATCCCGGTCCCTTCAAACGGTCTAGTAGGCTATTCATGTTCTATACCTATCTTCTATATCTCGATGGTCCCTTATAAACCTATATATGGAGAGTTGACTGTAGATATAACCACACGCTAACTCTAGAGTACCCATTAAGTTAGTATCTTGTACTCATTTTTAGAACTGGTTCTAAAGTGTTAAAAAACTGAGTATTTTCGTAATATTGAAAAATGAATACTTTTTCCCCTTCTTTGAAAACCTGTTCTGGAATAAACATGACTAAAAGAGATTCATTATTGATTCAGTGCGAAAGTAACGGCATTTTTAAAATCACAGAAGTAAGCGCAGCGTGGAAGTGCAAATCAGTTATATTTGGCGGGACTAGAGATTTCTCATAAGATTGCTGCATGTGCATGCGAATAGGTTTTATTTTCTGACGATCGAGAAAATGGAAGCCCTAAAAGACCAACTGAACCCAGAAGAGTACGGAAAACTAAAAAGTAGAATATTTTTCGTTTATTTTGATTTGTCTGTTATTCATTCAGCATTATCTTGTTTTGTTTCCGGATGCACTGTGTTAGTTTCAGGTTATCTGAATCCTGTTGCATTACGGTGCTGGTGTGGCTCAATACAGCTTTCATTTAAAGCTTTGAGGCCCCACATCCTGTAGTGTCACCCCGGAAAGCTGGACAAGATAATGACCATTTGCCGGAATGACCACTTAGAAATTATCGCCGACTTCGGTAATTTTTACCGAAATCTGAACAGCTGTACTTTTCGGTAAAATTTATGCAATTCAATTCAATTGCTTTTCAGCTACTTTGAAACTAAATCTCCACTAAAATGACAAGATTTGATAATTTAAACAAGGTTGAACATGTTTTGATATTATTTTCAAATTTAATAGCCTTTAAATTGAAGGTCAAAGTTTTACCG